GTGTGTGAGTGTGTCTGTGTGTGTGTGTGTGTGTGTGTGTGTTTGTACTCACTCAGAATGTCTATATGGCGATCTTTGACGCTGTCGACACACTGTTTGACAGATTCATCGCTGCAGACGTCCAGTGTGAGCAGAGACAGAGTTTTACCGTACGCGTCTCCTGCCGCTTCAACCAACTTATCCTTCCGCTTCAGATCACGCATGGTAGCTATGACTGAACACACACACACACACACACACACACACTCACACAAACACACACACACACACACGAGAAGTAAGTATCTTGTGTGTGTGTGATGGTGTGGGAAAGTAAATCAAATCAGGATCACACATGCCCACAGACTGTGCTGATTAATATTCAGCTGATTCATTCTTTTGCTCCATTTGTTAATCAATCAGTACAATAGAGCAGTGACTGTCTGTGCAGTGTTCAGTTCAGTTGACCTTTAACTCCTACAGCTTTGCTGGCAATACATCGCTGGCCCACGGGACATTCCTGGGGGAACTTCAGACAGTCCAGAGGAGAGATGGCGGGAAACATGCATGTGTAGCATCTCAAGGACAACACTGCAACAGAGGGAGGAGAGTCAGTGAATGTTTCAGAATCAGCATCAAATGCTTAGACTAGCCTTACATGTTAGTCCTCTAATGTTTTTCTTTAAAGGGGTCATGAACTGCCTCTGTTTTTATTTTGTACTGTTCTCTGATGTCCACTTATAATGTTATCAAGTTTTTACATAAAAAAACATAATTTAGAAGTAATAGTCTATTTTCTGTCCTGTTTTTAACCCCCTCATCAGAACGCTCTGTTTGAATAGACGTGGAGGATTGTAGACTCTGAAGTAAATGCCCACTGCTATGATTGGCTAACAGTTGTGTATGATTTAGGTTAAAAATGCATAAATACTCATATCAAATGATCTGTTCAACAAATAAAGCCATAGCGATCACTTTGTTTGTTGCGATATTACTGTCGGATCCAATATAGTCGCACAACATCATATTTTAGTTTCAAACTTTCTGAAAATCGAATTGTTGAATTGCCGTGTCGAACTGTGCCTTGTTTGTAAACGAATCTGCGGTAAAATGAAGTAAACACAGGACCGAGTTCTTACTGACGTGGTCTGGATCTTCATTAAAAATAAAACACATTCACTGTTTCCTAACATTGGGATCAGAAGGGAAGCAAAGCAAAGACTGTTTTTCCACATCTTGGCAGTAGCCCCTCACTACAGAACACAAGATCCAGGGGGCGTGGTTGGATCCAGATTCAACTCCTCCCACCTTACATATACCTAATCCTACCCGTCTCCACCTCCTGATCCCTAAACCCACCCATCTCCACCCCTAAACCTACCAATCTCCACCCCCTAGATGTGGATCCAACCACGCCCCCTGGATCTTGTGTTCTGCAGTGAGGACCATCGCCATCTTGGCACTGCACAGCGTTTTGTTTTCTCAGTTCATGACCCCTTTAAAACGTGTCAATTTACGTTGGTTACCTAAAAACTTACACTGGTCTAATCTGAATAATAAGACTCACTACCCCTTGGTGAACTGCTAGTTGGTCAGACTACTTCTTAATACAATCTTAACATAGAGACTAAGAACCGGTTGTACTATAAACGCAAAAGGCAAATTAGCGTGAGAGCACAGTCTCATAAAAGCGCTGATGGGAGTGGAAAGTTCTGCGGGTTATTTACTGAGAACACAGATATAATTTCCATAATGACCCATGCAAAACCAAGAGCAGCACAAATTTGCGTAAGTATATGTTCAAATAATGTCTTCCTCTGGCATTCCAAATAAATTCATTCTCTCCCTTCTATCGCGCTCTCTGTCCTCTGTGGTGCCTCCTCCTGGCATCAACAATCACAGCCATGTCAAGCGCAAAGTGGGTTAACGCAGGCTTTTGGGTGGTGAATAACAGAGCAAATACCAGTGAATGGACTACCGCAGACTATGGTAAATCAGGTTGTGTGATACACACACACACACACACACACGAGAATGAGTGAGACTTTACAGAGCGCTTCCACTCTCCCTTTGTCAATACAAGATCTCAGCCAAACATTAATGCAACTCTTGATGGAAATAAATGTGTTTTTTTGGCCAGTTTCTCTGGATTTACGATTTATAGTTATTTCTGTCATGATAACTCTCGGAGGGATTGGCATGGTAATGTACATGACAATGTTAATGTATTTGGTCTTGGCGGAATAGATCTGCTTCGCTGCTGCTGCTGCTGCCAATACATCCACAACATGCTGCTGTGAGCATGTAAGAAACACTGCTGCTGCACATGTAACACACCCGAAATAACCCCCATATAGCATAC